TTCCATGCAAACTAACAGAGTAAGACAAAAGTAAATAGGTCCTAATACATGGCAATTCACAACAGATATGTTGACAAATTCGATCGGTGGGTGGAGCTTCATACCTGGATAGGGCGTGGCGACCAAGCTCACGATTGGTTGGCCCACGCAACCAGCCAATCGGAGGGCTCGTCCGTGCCGCACTGTCCAGGTACTGCGCTCCACACCCATTTGAATATGGGGAGAGGACGAGTTGACAGCAAAAAGGCGGGAGAAGTTTGAATGCACCAATAGCGCAACAGTAGCACCGCCCCTTTTCTCCCCACGATGTATTCGCCCAACGTTCCCTTCAAAGTCGAACTACTAAGAGACAAAATAGTCCGAAAAAAATTTCGAATTCAAGACTTCTTGCACGAAAGCCAAGCGCCTCACCACAGAGTCATATCCGTAAACAAAGTGTTCACCATGTTTCCCGAAGATTGACAACAAAGATTTCAACTTGCAGGTTTTCAAATACGCCGACTCAAACCAACTCTACTTCACCTGCCAAATCCGGCTATGCCAACGACAAATGGGAATGTGCCAAGATGTGACGGTGAGTTCAACCTCCGCCACGACCTTCGCAACTGTGGGATGCCGTGCCTAACGGTTTCTGGCTTCGGAATTGTCGCAATTTGCATAACGGGACAACAACGTGATCACCAGTGAATGGTAACGGATTAGGTGTTGGAAGATAGCCGTAGTTAAAGGCATCGCCACGGTTCACTCGAAGTAATGAGAAAGCTCAATGGGGTCATGGACAAGGTTATAATAAAGCACGAGCCGACGAGGACCAGTTGACCTTCAGTTTCTCAAACCGAGGTTCCGTTCTAAATGAAGTGGGGCAGAGTCGAAAAAAAGGAAATTCGATTTAGGAGCCAGTTACAGGTTCTTCTTTCGAGTGCACCGTTTTCATCTTGAGTCCTGAGAGGAAGAACACAAAAATGTCAGTCAATGTGTATCTATAAGGGGTACTAAGGAAACAGCACACCAAGGAATCCATCGACCAAATTCAGTGCGGTGTTTGCGGCTTTGCGGCGTCCGTGCTTTCGAATGACGTTGTACGGCGCGCCTTACATGCTGTCTATTGTAGCGTCGTAGGAAAAAATTAATATTCAAAGGACTAGTGATCCGCTTGATAGGATGGGGAAGGTTTCACGAAGTGTTCGTTAGGCTGCATGTATCTGAGCGTCCGCCGTTGTCCAGTATGCACGCGCGCAGCCTTTGTAGGTTGGAGCACGTTTTCTCGCGGCCACCGTAATCCTCGAACGTTTTGTCCCCATATCTACCGATAGAGCTTATAACGAGGTCTCAAACTTGAAACACATGCTACACTTATGCTTTGGACTCGAGAGAGCAAAAAATCTGGGTGGGCAAGATTTTGACAGGACTTTGCCTTTAAAGGCAATTTATACTA